AGATGGAGAAGGAGAGCACCTTTCCGGGCTCCTCCACCCATCTGCCTGCCTGCCTGCCTGCCTGCGCCTTTGTCATCTGCAGGCAATTTGAGCTAGGAATACATCACAGCTCTCTGACCACCGTGATGTACTAGCAGCTCAAAATGTCTAAAACCAGTGCTGTGCTCTGAATGCCCTACCAATGTCAGACAACTTACCGATCCATCGCGCAGCACTAGAAGCCACGACTCTTTAAAGGAACCTGATCCCGCTTTGCAGATTGAACGCAGATGAGGTCTCCGTGTGTTGCCCCTTTTTTCCTTTTTGTATAACTTTTATTTGCTTTTAAAAACAAGGATCATAGGACTGATAAATGATACAAATATGTAGCCTGAGTCTTCTCGTGTCATTTGTACATCTCAAAATAGCAGAATACATTTGCAGGAATATCTATAACATGGGTAGGCAACCTAAGGCCTAGGGGCCAGATGTGGCCCAATCGCTTTCTCAATCCGGCCCGCAGATTGTTTGGGAATCAGTGTGTTTTTACATGAGTAGAATGAGTCCTTTTATTTAAAATGCATCTCTGGGTTATTTGTGGGGCATAGGAATTCATTCATTCCCCCCTCCAAAAAAAATTTAGTTCGGCCCCCCACAAGGTCTGAGTGACAGTGGACCGACCCCCTACTGAAAAAGTTTGCTGACCACTGATCTATAACATATGGTTCATCATTATTGGGTTCATGATTTGGTTTAAATTGAAACAAAAAACAGGGGAACAGGAGAGAACAGAGAACATTCAACATCACATAGTTGAATGCCTAGTCAGGAGCTCTTGTGGCCGTTGTGATTAGATTAAGTGTGAGTCATAGTCATTTTTCCTCTTGTGTTATCAATGAAACAATACAGAGTTGGTCTCCTCGTGAACATGGGAGGGGGGCTCAAGGTGAAGAAAATGATTTACGTATAAATTTAAATTTAGACCAATCAGATTGAGGTAACTGCTAATGGGGAATGTGCAGGTGAAGATGTTACTGTTTGTTTCATAGATGAGGCGTGAACTTTGCAGGATCTTGACCAGAGGGCTTTGCATAAGGAAATCAAGGAGGAGAATCATGGGATCATGGGCCCTCTTGGTAAAACGCCCTGTTGGATCATAAGATCAATTTTGAGATTCCATACATACCTCTATGTGATGAACCTCCACTTATTTGGTGTGGGAATGTTCAGGGAGGCAGGAGAGAATCTATTGTTTATTAATATTCTTCCTAACTTGCGCTAGCAAGTTTCTTCACTTAGCAGAGTGCATTCCCCTTTACGCAGCAGAAAACTAGTTGCAAATTCGTGTGAGTTTCTTAAGACAACTAGCAATTCAATCTGGCTTGTCTAGATTGAGATATGTTCTAATATTCCTGGGAAGACCCTTTTGAATCCCTCCTAAAAGAATAAAGACAACACAGTCTTATTCATAAGTAACAAAAAGCAGTTTTACTTATGATCAGGCCGAGCACAGTGTGATCCCTGAAGGCAGGCTTAAGGCTTAAAGTTACAAACATGTACAAACAGGTTTACTCCATATTGGAGATGACCTGGGGAACTGCTATGGCAGCCAGCAGTCCAGTCCAGGTGAGGCAGGAAGCAGGCAGGACAAAAAGGGGAGGAAAGAGAAAGGCAGCAGGGTGACTTGGCCTTTTACCAGGTCTGGAAAGGTCACGCCCACCCACTAGTCACATGCAAGGAAGGATGATCCAGACCAGGAGGAACAGGAAGTTTCGACTGGCTGAACCAAACATTCCCTTGCATGTCCACTCTAGCAAAACAAGGAATGCTGTACTTGACTGCTCCCAGTGGATTACATCCCACATATGGATGGAGACCAATAGCATCTGGGATTCTAACATCCCCACCATGATCCCTGAATGGAGGGATATCAATAGTCTTCTCTGTGAATGTTCTTTGTCTATTCCTGCCTTTTTAAACAATGACCAGGCTTGTCTGAACTGCTAAGGCCTTCTTAAATGTCGGCTTCAGAGTTTTTAGTGAAGTTGATGTAACTTCTGTCAGGTTTGTTGTTTTTATTTTTGCTTTTGCTTCTGCCTGTATTTGGGTGACCAAAGAGATGACTGACTTCAGAGATGGAGTGGATTCCATGATTGAGCCAAACAAAATCTATCCCAGATACAGTGGTACCTCGGGTTAAGTACTTAATTCGTTCCAGAGGTCCGTTCTTAACCTGAAACTGCTCTTAACCTGAGGTACCACTTCAGCTAATGGGGCCTCCTGCTGCTGCTGGGCCGCCAGAGCACGATTTCTGTTCTCATCCTGAAGCAAAGTTCTTCTTTTTTAAAAAAATAATAATAATTTTTACTAATTTTAAAACAAAATAATTATCATATATTCTACAAAATTTCACCTCTTATACAATATTTTTGGACTTCCATCAGCACCTCTGGTGATATCCCATTTTTATAATTTCTTCTGCATTTCTTAAATTCATGTTGCCTTTAATTATCATAACTAACATCATCCTTTTCGTTCAATAATGCAATAATTCAAATTATTCAGCTTACAAACTTCCTGTAAACCTACAAATGTAATCTGGTCATCACAATTACTTTTCAAATAGTCCGTAAATTTTCGCCAATCTTCTGTGAATCTCTGGTCCCGCCGGTTTTGAATTCTTCCCGTTAGTTTATCTTGTTCTGCATAGTCCATCAATTTCATCCTCCAATCTTCTTTTGTCAGTAGTTCTTCTTGCTTTCATTTTTGTGCCAATAATATTCTTGCTGCCGTCATTGCATACAAAAACAGCTTACAATCATTTCTATTTATATCATCCCCGACAATGCCTAGTAAACATGCTTCTGGTTTTTTAATGAACGTATATTTCAACATTTTTTTCATCTCGTTATATATAATTTTCCAGAAGTTTTTCACCTTTTTACATTCCCACCACATGTGATAAAAAGTTCCTTCTTTTTCTTTACATTTCCAACATTTATTGCTTACTTTATACATTTTAGCCAGTTTGACAGGTGTAATATACCATCTATAAAACATTTTCATCACATTTTCTTTTAAGGCATTGCATGCAGTAAATTTTAAACCCTCCTTCCATAATTTTCCCCAAGCATTCAGCTGTATATTGTACCTGAAGTCTTTAGCCCAATGAATCATAATCGACTTAAGCTCCTCATCCTTCAAATGCCATTCAAGCAGCAGTTTATACATTTTAGACAAAATTTTATACTTATTACTTAATATCTCAACTTATTTTCATCAAATCCTATTTCTTTGAAGTCCTGTTTAAACATTTCATTGACCTGACGATAGTGTAGCCAATCTCTTACATATTCCTTAACTTCTTCATATGGTTTCCTCTTCCATTTACTTCCTTCTTTTTGTATTAATCTCTCATCAGTTATCCAGTTTCCTTGCATATTGATCTTTTTCACACTCATGACTTCTAATGGAGATAACCAGTGTGGTGTTTTTTGTTCCAATAGGTTTTTATACCTATCCCATATTTCTATTAGAGATCTTCGAAATATGTGGTTTCCAAATCCTTTATGGACTTTTGCTTTATTATACCATAGATATGCGTGCCAACCAAATCTATTATCATAACCTTCTATGTCTAACAAATCTGTATCTTCTAATACCATTCATTCCTTTAACAGAGACAAGATGCTTCATAATACAATTTCAAATCTGGCAGGGCGAAGTCTCCTCATTCTTTAGCATCTGTTAAAAACTTATACTGTATTCTCGGCTTCTTCCCCAGATATATCTTGAAATTGTTTTTTGCCATCCTTTAAAAATTGTTGCCCCTTTGATTATTGGAATTGACTGAAACAAAAATAACATCTTTGGTAGCACATTCATTTTGATAGCAGAAACCCTTCCCCAAAATGACAATTTCACCCTTCCCCATATTTCCACATCTCTTTTAAATTCCATTCCACACTGGTATATAATTATTTTGGAAAAGATCAATGTTTTTAGTAGTTAACCAAATTCCTAAATATTTAACTTTTTTAACCGCTTCTATACCAATTTGTTTCTGCAGCACTTCCACCAGGTCCTGTTTCATATTTTTAACAATCATTTTAGTTTTCTTTTTGTTCAATTAAAAACCTGCCACTTGCCCAAACTGTTCTATCTCTTCTAATACTTCTTTAGCATTGTAGCTGGATTTTCTAATGTTAGTACCAAGTCATCGGCAAAGGCTTTCACTTTATACTCATTCCGACCGACTGAAATTCCCGTCATGCCTCCCACTGCCACCATGCCGCTACCGCATGATCCCTGTTCTCATCCTGAAGCAAAGTTCTTAACCCGAGGTACTATTTCTGGGTTAGCGGAGTCTGTAACCTGAAGCGTATGTAACCTGAAGCGTATGTAACCTGAGGTACTACTGTAAAAGCCAAGCAATAAGTCAGTTAATTGTTGTTGAGTCTCAGCTTCAGGATTTGTCCGCCGAGTGAGCACTTAAGAATGGATAGGTTTCCTTAAGAATGTCAGTTAATACCAACCAAGGCAGTGAAAACTATAGTAAGGCCTCATATCTAACTTTCTTCAGTTCTTCCTCTCTCACAAGCATTTATTAACATTGCTCAATAATCTGGAGCACCATTTCTTCCTGAGGGTCTAATTAGCTTCTCTCTTCATTGCAGATGGTGATGAATTAGAAGGAAAGAACAAGGGGGACCAGAACAGAATCCACATAGTGGAGAAGTCATATAAATATTCAGAGTGTGGAGAGAACATCCATCAGAGCTCCCAGACCACCTCCCATCAAAGAAAATGCTTTGTACAGAGGGATAGCCTCAATTCACACAAAAGAACAAAGAGTAGGGAGAAATTGTATCAGTGCTTGGAATGTGGAAAGAGCTTCAGTCACAGTCATCTCACTTCCCATCAACAAATTCATATAAAGGAGAAACCTTATCAGTGCTTAGAGTGCGGAAAGAGCTTCAATCAGAAGGGTAGTCTCATTTCCCATCAAAGAATTCATACAGGAGAGAAACCCTATCAGTGCTTGGAGTGTGGGAAGAGCTTCAGTAGGCAAAATCATCTCACTTCCCATCAAACAATTCATACAAACGAGAAACTCCATAAGTGCTTGGAGTGTGGAAAGAGCTTCAGTCAGAGGGTGAATCTCGTTTCCCATCACAAAATTCATACAGGGGAGAAACCATATCAGTGCTTGGAATGTGGGAAGAGCTTCAGTAAAAGGGCACATCTCACTTCCCATCAAAGAATTCATACAGGGGAAAAACCCTATCAGTGCTTGGAATGTGGAAAGAGCTTCAGTTACAGCCACCATCTGACTTCCCATCAAAAAATTCATACAGGGGAGAAACCCTATCAGTGCTTGGAATGTGGAAAGAGCTTCAGCCGGAAGGATCATCTCATTTCCCATCAAAGAATTCATACAAAGGAGAAACCATATCAATGCCTGGAATGTGGAAAGAGCTTCAGTCTCAGGCACAGTCTCACTTCCCATCAAAGAGTTCATACAGGGGAGAAACCCTATCAATGCTTGGAATGTGGAAAGAGCTTCAGTCAGAGCTCCAATCTCTCTTCGCATCAAAAAATTCATACAAAGGAGAAACCATATCAATGCCTGGAATGTGGAAAGAGCTTCAGTCACAGGCACAGTCTCAATTTGCATCAAAAATTTCATACAGGGGAGAAACCATATCAGTGCTTTGAATGTGGAAAGAGCTTCAGGAAGGGGTCTCAGCTCTCTTCCCATCACACAATTCATACAGGGGAGAAAGCTTTTCAATGTCAGGAATGTGGAAAGAGGTTCAGTCGAAGCGACAATCTCACAAACCATCAAAGAATTCATACAGAGGGAAAACCAAAAAGGAAAAAAAATTAAAACCTTACAAAACACAAGTGTATAAAAAAAGAGAAGGGGGCAGAATAACTAAAAATACCCTTTATCACATTTGTATCATCTATATCATATAATTTATCAACCCATAGAAAGGCAGGCTCCCCCAGCTCTCCCCTGGGTGCCCCCCTTTTTTCCCCGTCTCCCACCCTGAGAGATCCTTCCTTCTCTGCATTCCTTGCAGGCCCCTTCCCCCTCTTCCTGTTTTATATAATTTTTAAACCTTTATTATACCAAAATCTTAAAAAGACATACAATATAAAACATTACATTCAAACATTACAGATTATGAATACACAAAAAGTATAAATGAATGGGGGAAAAGAAAAGAGAAAGAAGAAAAAAGAAGTAGAAAAAGAATAGGAAATGATGTTATTTACCATAAAGAAAAGCATTCCGCCTATACTCATTGTACTATTTTGAACTAAATTTTTTACAGTTTCCTAAATCTCCCCCCCCCCCACCTCACATTCTCCTTTTTGGTTCTAGTTTTCTCCAATATTTCCTTATATTACAAGACTCATTTGATATCTGCCATAAAGCTTTTGGTATCACAGTAAACTTTAAGGTATTATTTGATTATTATCCATTCTTTATTAACATCTTGTATCGTATTTCCTCTTACTGCTCCGGTTATCCTTGCTAACTGTATGTATTCTAGCAATTTGGTTTGCCATTTGAGTTTTGAGGGGATGGTTTCTCTTTTCCGATTTTTTGCAGTTAGAATCCTGGCAGCAGTTGTGGCGTACATAAATAAATGGTCTGTTTGTCTTCTTGATTTCCATTGTCATGATTCCTGACAAAAAAGCCACCGGTCTCTGCAGGACAGGCCGGCCACCCAACTTCCACATCAAAGTCTCCACGCAAAGGAGAGTCAGGAATCGCACCCACAGCTGGTCTTGTGGGCCCTGCTGCCCAGCCTCCAGGGGACCCCCGCATAGACCCACAAGCACAGACATGCACACCAATGCCCCCCCACCTGCCACATGAAGCACAACCTGCCTTCTTGACGCCTCACCCACCCCAGGGTGGCCCATGTGGCAGACATAAGAGACCCCGTGGTCCTCGGTCAGGATGGGCAACAGGCAGGCGAAGATGGTGAAGTTGAAGGTGCCGTTGGGGGCCTGGCGGTGCTCCGAGTCCCAATGTCCAGGAAGGCATGCTGGGGGGCGCCGGACCTCCTCCGCTTCCAGCTAACCAAGGCACCCAGAGGGTAGAAGCTGGAGACCTCGCAGGCCGGCTGGCGACAGGCACCGGTGGGCACTGAGAAAGTCATAGGTGCAGCTTCACTGGGGGGGGCCTCTGCATGTGTAGAGGGGGGAGAGGAAGTGAGCGCAGCGCCAGCCACTGACAACCAGGAGAGCTGCAGGCAGCCAAGGCTTCAGACTCCCAGCTGCTGGGAGGGGAGAGGGGGGCTCTTGGGTTCAAATCCTGGCTGGGGGAAGGACATCGGGTCAGATGCTGCAGGGACAGGACAGGGCTTGATCCAGCAGCCGGCTCTTCTTATGGAGCCTCCCAGTCCAAGGGCAGTCTCCCTGGATTGCTTGAATGGTAGAGGTGGAAGGACCCCCAGGGGTCATCCAGCCCAACCCCTTAGGAGGCAGGAAGCACTACCTATGGGCATTTGGCCACTGCAAGGACAGGAGGCCGGACTGGATGCCTCAGGCTCGTCATCTGTTCCCATGGAGCTTCCTGGAGCAGAGGCAGTCTATCCTAGGTTCTTATAATCCTAGAACTATAGAATAGGAGGGCACCTAAGGGTCATCTGCAAGGCAGCTATCTCAGGGCTATTTGGCCACTGCAAGGTTTAAGCACTCTCCCTATGTTCTTTTGGAGCCTCCAGGCACAGGAGCAGTCTATCTGGATTCCTAGGTCCTTGACGGCATTTGGACCCTGCGAGAATAAAGGAAGCGGGCTCAATGGGGGCAGCTGATACCCCTTTTCCCCTTTCCTCTGCCCTCCCTGCGAGGGAGACCCCCGGTCACTCAGTCACTCACCACCTTGAACTCGAGCACCTGCTGGGCATGCAGGTGGGGCAGGTAGAAGGTGCAGATGTAGGTGCCCTTGTGGCAAATGGCCACGCTCTGCAGGACAGGGAGGCACTGCTGCCCTCGGCGTCCAGCAGCAGCTCGGCCACGGAGACCCCCGCGAGGCTCCGTTGTAGACCAGCACCACCTTCCCGGCCCCCTGGAACTGATGGCACCATTCCACTGAGAAGGCCGAGGCTGGCGCCGAGAAGCCACAATGCAGGACCGCCGGGCGCCCGAGGCTGGACTCCAGGCACAGCGTACGCGTGAAGACCGACAGCACCACTGCGCAAGGAGGGTGAGGTGAGCGGGAGAGATCCCCAGCGATCGGGGTATAAATAAAAAATTATTATTATTATTATTATTATTTATTTATTACTGAGAGGCTCCGGCACCCTGCACAGTCATTTTAAATTATCCATTGATGGCACCACTCCACCGAGTCAAAATGAGTGTACCATTAAGATTTTGTGTGTGTGGTTGGCCCTCGTAATAACTTTGTTTTATTCATATCAGTGGGTCTCTCCTTCGAGTAAAAGTCCGCTGGGGGCTCCCTCAGTGCGAGAAGCCAAGTTACAGGGAACCAGGCAGGGGGCCTTCTCAGTAGTGGCTAGGAAACAACTACCAGACTTTTAGAAGACATCTGAAGGCAGCCCTGTTTAGGGAAGCTTTTAATGTTTGACAGATTACTGTATTTTAATATTTTGTTGGAAGCCGCCCATCTGGCTGGGAAGTCCAGCCAGATGGGCGGGGTATAAATAATAATAATAATAATAATAATAATAATAATAATAATAATAATAATTATTGGGCTCTGGCACCCTGCACAGTCATTTTAAATTATCCTAAACCCTAAGAGTTTAAAACAGATAGGTAATTGACAGACGTAGATGATATATAGATATCAGTATCGGGAAGCTGCCAGATGCCCCCCTTGTTTGGGCCTGTGATGGACAGCAGAGCCAGGCCAGTCAGCGCATTTAGTCCCTCAGAAATCCCACCAGGAGGCTGCTGGAGCCTCGCTCTGATTGGCTCCCAAGCCAGCGGGGGCGGAGCCAGCACTTTTGGCGGGAAAATGAAATGCGCCTTTTCTGAGGGAGGGAGAAAGGGGGAGATGGATGGTCTGAGGGGGGAACTTGGAGGGGAAGGTGGGGAGGAGAATCTGTCTGGAGGGTCTGGGGAGAGGAGTCAGGCGGGAGTTCAAGGGGAGAAGCTATGGGGAGGCAGGCGGAAGCGGGGTCTCCTTCCATTCGGGGGGGGGAGATATTTGAGAAGGAAGACCCCCCCAAGCCCAGAACAAGGGGACCCCCTGGGCCTGTGACTGGGAATCCCTCTGGAGGGGCTGAGAGAGGGGGGAGCGGAGGGAAAGGGCCCCTCGCTCAAGAACCCCCCAAGTGGGAATCCCCCAGGGAAGGGGGGCTGCGTCCAGAGCCTTGAATGGTGAGTGACACCTGTCACACCTCAGTCAAGGAACCAGAGGGAAGAAGGGGCAGAAATGGAGTTCAACATTGGACCGCCATGTCTGGAAAGCGGAACATCTGCCTGAAGTGGAGCAACGGCTTTTTGGCAAATGGAGCTGGAGAATAATAATAATAATAATAATAATAATTTTTATTTATACCCCGCCCTCCCCAGCCAGGGTGGCTAACAACCAATAATAAAAACAAGTTGATAAAAATAAAATTTAAAAGATTAAGATTTTCACAGGAGGAGAAAGGAAAAAGAAAGAAATCAAATCCCGCAGGGCCCTGGTCTCATGAGAAAAGCTGTGCATGGACTTCTGCGTTTAATTCCGTGACTTCCTCAAAGTTGAAGCAATAAGTTGACTTCTGCCTGAAAGAACCCGTCTCCTGACACCAGCTTTTTCTTGGTAAATAAAACTTTTCTTCTTTGTTCAGCTTCGGCTCTAAATCACCAAGTTTTCCCTCACATAAGAGAGGCTGTGGTCAATGGCAGAAATTCATTTAATGGGCAAACCATGAGGTGGATCCACTATATTTAATTGGGGGCCGTTAGCAGGGACATAATGTGACTTAATTAGTTGGAGGCTTGTGGTGGGATCTGCTAGAGGGCCATCATAAAATGATCAGAAACAGTTGTAGGGTTGGAATGCATTCATACCAAATACAGTAGGTTAAGAATCAACATTTGTGTTTTGGGATAATAATATCACCTAGACATTAGATAAGTATATATGGAATTGGAATTGTTAACTTTTATAATGATATAGTAGTTGTTGTTGTTGTTGTTGTTATTATTATTATTATTAATGTTAAATTACACTGATCTTTTAAAAAGGAAAAATAGTTTGAAAATAATAATATTTTCAAACTGTAGGTTGGATCCCAAAGGACATCTAGTCCCACCCCCTGCAATGCTACCCAGCAACTCTCCCCCCCTCCCGAAGTTTCCCCCGCCAGCCCCTTCCTCTCCCTGCAAGGAAAGAAGCTGCACCTGCTGAGTTTCTGCCTTCCCCCCAGTGTTGCAAGGGGAGTAAATACGACAAAGGGGGCGATCTCCCCGCCTCCTCCTCGAATCGTAGACTTGGAAGGGACCCCAAGGGTCATCCAGTCCAACCCCCTGCAAGGCAGGAATCTTTTGCCTCACGTGGGGCTCGAACCCACGACCCTGGGATCCAGAGTCTCCTGCTTTACCAACGGAGCCATTTGCTCCAAAGGGACAGGTGCCGCTCTCAAGTACCCTCCTAATATTGCAACAGACTTTCAGTCTGCTAGCTAGTGAGCAGGTGAAGAAGACGGAGAATTTTAGTTTATTATTTATACCCCACCCATCTGGGGCCGGGGTACGAGGCTGCTGCCTCGATGGCCTCTGAGCCGAGAATCACAGAGAACTCTGCACATGCCCCGGACCATCCGATTCGGGGAGGGAGGGGGAGCGGAGAGCCGGCTGTGCTCAGCTTGCGAAGGGTTCTACAGAGCTGGGG